CACACACACACACACACACACACACACACACACACACACACACACACACACACCTGCAGCAAACACATCCGCTGCCAACACACACACACACACACCCCGGTGTATCTTCCTTTTACAGAGAGATGGGGAGGGGATTAAATGAGTGGAGGTGAGAGGGGGTTGAGCAACATGTGATGTGCAGATCACACTTACGGATCGCACCGAGTGACTCGCTGATTCTGCATCAGTAAACAATTTGTACCTGACGGTTGATCTCGCCCACGCACCCACCTGCGGTGGCACACTTACGCAGTCTGTGTGCGTATGTGTTTGCGATTCTTTAGCCGCACTTCTGAGGACTTTCCCAATGCCAGCCCTTCTCCTAATTTACAGAGATCTCATTCTAATTCTACCCATAACCTCAGATCTCAGCCTGACAATGATTACCTTCACCTTGCAGCTGCAACACACTGCACGAGTCAGGTGCAATTGAACGCATCTCCTCTTTATGTTAACCTTCCTTCAGCTACTAAGAAAAATAAGTTTTGGTGGCATGGTGACTCATATGAGGTCATTTAAAGTACATTCTATACACCAACCTCTTCGCTGGCAACGCTCTTAAAAAAGACTTGTCTGCCTGCAACCGTTCATTTGTTTCATATGAATAATTGTTAGATCCCTAAAGAGATAAAAAAAAAAACATCCAATATTTTACAAGAGAGCAAAGATTAGAGCCATTCAAGTCGAATGTAGATTGTTTAGCATAATTTCCCTCCTGTCCTGTTCAATTGATCATCTCCCTCAGATGTATCTTGTGCTCTCCTAAGCACTGCTGCATATGATGAGTGGTATGGAACTGGGACACAGCATGGCTCTTCGGTCCTACCACACATAAAGAGTGATGACAGTCAACTGTATTCACCTCGGGTCCCAGGAGCGGAACCAAGTTCTGAAAGACCTGTACTAAAACCACAGTTCAGGACTTAAACCCTGTCTCTCACAAAACTGCGTTTTAAAAAAATGAATAATATTTTGTTGTATGGGAATGTATTTTTGGGAGACCAGGCTGAGGATTTAGGGGAGTCTATTAGCAGAAATCGAATATATTTTCCCAACTATGTTTATATTAGTGCATAATCGCCTAAACTTCAGAATCATTGTGTTTTTATTAGCTTGGAATGAGCCCTTCCTCGTGGGAAGCGGGTCATTTTTACGAAGTCCGCCATGTTTCTACAGAAGCCCATAATGGACAAACCAAACACTGGCTCAAGAGAGGACCTTCTGCATTCTTATGTTAACTAAGGCCACCATAGTTCTCAAACACACTCGGAAAGGGAGGGGTGTTCAGTTGGTTGCAATGTGCAACCTCACCGCTAGATGCCACTAAATCCGACACACTGGACCTTTAACACGAATAATAACTTTAATCCCTGAATCTTGACACGAAAGTATTCCCTTATGAAGTGCAGGCCGCCCACAGCGTCTTGACCTGGGAGGATTTTTCTCATCTTCCAATCTTCATGAGGCCATTTGATGCAAGAACACACTCGCACACAAATCTTTCCACACTTGGACTTCGGCTTTCCCCTCCTCTGCCTCCCCTTTCGGTTCATCAACAGGGCGCCTCCTCGCTCCTCCTAATCTCCTCCTCCATCTGTCTCCTCGGCCCCCGAGCGAAGCTCCTCTGACCCGGCCCACTGATCCACCTGCTCCTCCTCTAACCTTCTCAACCGCTGCGGGAAGCGGAATGAGGGAGGGAGGGCGGCTGTGGAAAAGGTGAAGAACGGCCAGGCGCTGGGACAAGCGTTGTCCACGCAGCCTGAGGGCACGGTAGGAGGATGAATTTAGGCCATACTGCTCTACCTTTCCCCAGAGTGCAATTACACCAGCAATTACTCTCCCTGGGCATCACACACCCCACTAAACCGCCAAGATCACATCCAATATGCCAGGGGCCGGCCGGGATACTGGATGCTTAATGTACTTCAAAAGGCTCACCCTCATGATAACTAGCTACAGGGATCGCCAGAGGGTATGTGTGGAGAGCAGGAAGAGGAGATTGGGAGAGGATGAGCTGATGAGAAGAGGATGAAGTGAAGGATAGAGGGACGGTAAGAGGCACACATGCGAGTGCGTATCTTAAAGTTGATATTCCGGGCTTACATATCCGTGAGGGAAATATCAATGCAGAGCTACTCGTTTTGTACCTGTCAGCAACAGTGGGATATGATGATACGACACGTCTTTACTCTGTATTAATCTTCCCAGCTATTTCAGATAGATATCCGCGTGCGTGCCTCCACATCTGGAGTGAATAAGGGGATCAGACTCCGGAGTGAGTGCTCACGGTGCTGTGCTTCTCCCACGACTCCAGAGCATGTGCGGGAATACAGGTGCCAATTATTTTCACATCTAATGTAAACCAGAGAACAAGGGCGCGTCAATCACCACCGCCGCCGCCCCTCGGAATGGAAATGGGATGTATTCATAGGAATGCGGCTATTTTGGCGGCTGATGAAATGGGTCGGTTGGGACTTGTAAAAATATCCCCGCAGAATCAGGCTTTGGAAGGAAAAACCTCAAATCATCTGAACTTCAGACTGGTCCGTCTCTAATGAGCAGAGAATGTGGCTGCGTTTTGATACATGCTCATGAAGACATTCACTATTTGGGGATTTCTATCCTAACTAGTGTTAACAGGAGAAAGTCATTGATGATCTGCAGGTAGGAATGTAGCCTGACACTGGGAGAAATGCAAAGGACAACAAGATTACACAACAATGTCTACAGCATGGCGGCGCTGAGGAAAAGGATTGTCAGTCGGAAGGATTCATCCTCTGGGCACCACGAATGTCTCTACAAAATGTCTCGCTTGCACGGCGACAATATTACGCTATGAAAAATTCGAACTAAGCTGTACTGTTGGAGAGTTTGATCTGTAAAAGTGCATCAAATTTTTTAAAGGTAATGCCAATTTCATGGTTTTTCCATGTAAAATCTACGGGCCTAGTTACGTACTATGCCACCACCACCATACTTTTTTAATCAGATACCACAGGCGTGTAGTGTATAGCCACACTTTCAATCAATTAAGAGGCATCCCGGTAAGCTGAACTGCCAACCACGTCAAATACGCCACGCTCGACTTCCCCAAACCACAGGCTGAATGTGTTGCAGCTGCTGGGGTAGTGGGCAATCTCACGTCGCATTAAATCAAAGATCGCTTGCGGTGATTGGCAAACAAAGCCACAAATAGTCTTTTTTTTTCTTCCAGATCTGGTTACAAGAAGTATCAAATACAGGTATTTTTTTTGAGTGGAGAAGTTTTGACACTACTTATTACTGGATTAAAAAGGTATGGAGTAAAGAGTAATAGACCAAGCCCTGTAACATCTGAATATGAGAAGTGTAACTATAGCAGTCTAGCAAATGCAGGGCAGTAAAAAGTACATTATTTGTAATGCAAATACAACGCAAAGTACAAAAACCTCTACAGCGTATTTAAGTGCAATACTTGAGTAGTTACTTTCCATCACTGTTAGGCACTAAAAATCATGAAGACGCCTGGGATTCTCAGGAGACAACATTGGAAGAGAGTCCTTCCTTCTTTTGGTGTCACAAACAGGCCGATGACCAGGACGAATGAGTAAGTGATATAAATATAAACAGCCTGGGGCCCCTTCATTACTTATAGCCAGAGAACGCATGGGATCGACAAGGCACTGAAATGTTTGTCTATTGGAGTGTCATAAATCAAAGATTTATTGATGGTACATCTTGTCCCACAGCAGCACAAGTGTGATCAGGTTGAGATCTGCACGATTAACACTTCATTTGGCTGTGTACATGCAGCACACACAACCTATTAAGTCTGAAGAAAACTGGATGTAACATCTCTACTCCGCCGGCGTGTCAGAGCCCGGTCATAGTGCTAAGCGACTGCCAAACACATTCAAAGTCTCTCGGAGATAAAGGAGCCGTCCCTTTGACATTTTGAGAAAATGCCACGAATGACAACCTTTAAAAAGCTGCGGCGAAATCCGTTCGCTCTGCTTCGTATTCTAAAAAGCCTCTTCCTTTTTCAAAGGCGGCGTGAGAGTGACAAACCAGAGAGCAGTCGAGACATTTTTAGCATCTCCGGCTTCAGAGCGGTGTTCCTCTTTCCCGCCATGCTAATTCGTCGGGGTCACGCCCGCTGAGTGTTTGCTTGAGTGCTTCACTGTGGGATTAGGAGATTCAACAGGCAGACAGCCATTTGAATAATTGTTTTCAAATGTCTTTCTTAATATCAAGATCCCATTACTTACTATTCCGTGCGCTCTCCTGGCGATGAGCGCCGGGGACTGTTAAGTTTGTGTGTGCACGCCTGTCTAATGGAGGCACTTATGCGAGGCCATGGAGACTCACTCAGGATGCGACGTAAATGGAGGCAGAGAACACAGAAACACAGAACACTTGATGTGGATTGGCTCATTAACTGCACAAGTGGGAAGGCTACACTGCAGCCACCTTGGGACGAAGATAATGGCTTCGCTGTCGTCTGCGTGACAGCACTAAGGCTTGGCCTGAAGGCAGCGCAGATACCATTTTCTATACAAACAAAGTGTGTAGACGGATGTTTTAAGAAATAACAATGTCCAATGCAATCTCTAGAATGTCATTGTTGGCAAGGTGGACTCTAATGAATCATTAGGTAATGCGATCCTTGCGGTTTTAGCCGGGGGGGAAATGTCTTGACAAGTTTAATGTAACAAGAGGAATAGTGCTTACAAGCTGGTTTATGCACTATTTCCCGTCGTGTTTTGTCATGAGATTCAACCAACTTTGTGGCAAAAAAAAACCTGCTTAAATTATAAAATAGTGGCCTAAAGATCATAGCAAAAATAAAATGCAAGCTTTGAGGCAAGGAATCTGATTAGAGCTGGTAGCACCGACTCGAAGAATGCCCAGATTTTATTTATCAGGACAATAACACGCCTTCTCCACACTTTGTTATTGCATCTACTGCTGAGGCTGCAGATTGCAACCAACTGAATACCCCTCCTCTCTCTCCTCCCTTTTCAAACGAAGATGGCCTTCAGGTAATGTAAAAATGCAAAAGGCCCTCTCTGGAGCCAGCGTTTGATTTGTCCGCTCTGGGCTACCGTAGAAACATGGCGGGTCAACATGGCGGACTCCGTGAAGAGGACCCGCTACATATGTATATGAACGGCTCAGCAAACGTTTTTAATGAACTACTAAAGCTGCATTGATTGATATTTTTGGCCACGATAAGCTGTAAACATTGACATGACCTTATAAACCGGCAAACATGTTACAGAGCGACATTTATGTCCAACACTGACTCTCGTTTTAATTTCGTTTTGCTTTCTAAAAAGTCTCAGTGGAAATACAGTGTCTTTGTTAGCTGCTAAATGCTCCGCTGTGTTCACCAGCTAATCGCTACCATTGTTTGTTGTTTCGTGCTGGGAAAGTAGCATGCGGCGGGTTTATTATCACAACTTGTTGGCTGAAAACAGCGGCCTGCTGCTGCTTTCACCAAAGTCAGAGTGGCGAGAGTGAAACAAAGTAAAGTAAAAACTAAAAGAACGAGTTAAGCGGTCTATGGAGCTATGGGAAACTGCAGAGTTGGTCATTATCTATAATCGATCACGAGGAAGTTCTATTGACTAGATAGGATACAGTACAGCTGACATCATTACATGACAATGTAAACATCAAGCCCAAAGGAAGTGGCCATAGATTGACTTCACTCAGTGCCATAATCACTTCCTGTTTCTACTCCATCACAACACACTTCACTCTCTGGTGGGGTTGAGATCGGAGGCCAGACCATCAGACAAACCAGTAGCAATCACTAAACCACTGGATTATTTATCACATGCATTTGGCTGTTTCCTCTCTCTCTCTGAACCCACTATTCACTCTCTCCATCTTTCTATCTGCTTTCCTCTCCCAAGGCGGAGGCGGTCGCTAAGCAACCTGCACAACACAGCAGTGCAGCTCTCCAACTTGGCTCTCTGCCCCTGTGGTTTCAGACAATCAAACACACGAGTGTGTGCGCGCATTGATACAGAATGTGTGTGTGGGGAAAGGTGAAAGCTATGAATAGTTTCCATCTCATAAGCGAAAGCCAATAGTCCCTTTAGCTTTTAAGAGCTGCCTCTTGACTCGAGTAGAGCATCGTCTTGCATCCAATGGGGATTCATTACAGGGCAGCCAACTCTGAACTGCTCTAAACAGAAAGCACAAAAACGAACAAGAGAACGTGTGAAGAGATATGCTTTTAATTCACTGCAGCTTGAATAAAACCACCAGAAAGACACCTGCAGCAGACACAGCCATCCATCTAGAGACGCATGTCACACGGTCGAGGCCGACATGGTTCCTAAAGCTTCCTGGCAAAGAAAATCTGTGTAGTCTTGTTCAATAGCAGCTACATAATCATAGCTGCTATTGCTTGGCAACAAATTTGAGTTCAAGGAGTGAAACCTGGATCAGCAGAGGCTTCAAAATTGATTGATTCCTCAGCATCACAGATACAAGGCTTTAGTTGGATCATGCTGTGCTTCCTCTGATCTACCTGTTAAAAGAACCTAAAGCAAAGCACACCCCACTGACGGCAACATCAGCATTGACCAAACCAACTGCAGTACAACATTAATGCAATTATGTGTTTTGTGCTGCCACATCACCACTCACACAGGTACAAATGTAGCCCAATCTGTAGAAAAAAACAAGAATACTCCTTTTTCCACCCACAACTAATTACATACTTTCACAGATTGCTATGAGGTTACAGTAATCAAGCTAGCTGCTTACAGAGTTATACATTCGAAAAGTAAGAATGATCACGGCTTTACAAAAAATATACATTTGTGGGCATGCACAGAGCGACACAACACCTGGTGTGTCTAATAGTTTAAAAAAAAGAAGGTCCCATCAGTTTACAAAAGCAAAGCTCAAGAACAAATGGCACTTACTGGAACTACAACAGTTAGGGATCTCCGGGGCTGCGTTACAGCCACACACACGTAAACAAACACTCCTAAAGACACTAGTCAGTAGACAGACACTGTTTTTCCACTAATTAAATAACTAAATTGAGAGATGTCCAATCCAATTCTTCTGCACTCCACATGTTGTCTCAATCGTTTAGCATTGATCAGTCTTGGCATATAGTTCCAATTCATGTTTACCAAACTGGCTTTAAACAATGAATTGTTCATACACAGAACCCTGTAAATCTGTTCTGCACTGACCCGTTAATTTGATCTCTGCAAGTGTGTCAGTAAATGTTGTAAACTTGCAGATATGTTAAGACTCAATTTCAGAAAGTTACTTGGACTGTAAATATTTATGGTAACCAGATGTTTAAAAATGATCCAGAAATGTTTTCCCACCCCAGGACTTCATGTTGCTGACGGCAAAAAGACTCATAATTAGCTTTATCCATAGAAAGCGTTCTCAAAATAAATATCACATGGCAGGTGTAACTCAATTTGTCTCAGCTGGCTGAGCTAGCAGAGCTTCAGGCCTCCACCACCTCAGTGCTCGGCTCCTGGCTCCCCTCGGCGGGGCCGAGCGGCCCGGCCCACCACAGGCTCAGGGCGTTGTCCTGTCGGGTCTCCTGAGGCGACACCACAGCTTCATCTCCCTCGCCCTCAGAGGCCGAGTCGCCCTCACTCTCGCCGGGCGACGGGAACTGGCGTTGCCCGCTGGATGTTGCCAACAGTGGCATGAAGGGATGAATACTGTGGACGAGGAAGATGCAGGATGAGGAGGAAAACGAAAATGAGGATGTGCAAATAAATGTGTTTGTAGGGATTCAAGAAAACTGATATTTCTGGTATTCTGCCCTGCAGCACTTGTTATGCATTTAAAGCACATTTAAATGTAAACACCACGAGGAACTAAGTGATGCATTTCACAGTCCTAAAACAACTGAATTAATTGATGTCCACATTCTATACATAATAACAGAACATTCACAGATACATCATCTCTTCTACACAGAATACAGAGCCGGGGAAGGAAGCCGTGGTTATTGCTCCCCGTTCTCACAAAGCAGCAATACTGCTGAGGAATATTAGAACTCAAACACTGATGTTTCTTCTCTTATCTGAAATATTTCAGACAATTTGCTTTGAATGATAATTGGGGGACCAAAACAATAACAGCAACGCACCCACTTAACATGATTGATGGACCAACATTTGCTGATTGCTTACTTTCTCCCTCCTCTACACAGTTGTCTGTTTGTATTGAAGTCTAATTATATTCTTGCCAACGCAGATTTGAACGTTATATTAAGAACCATGAAGAGAAAGCACGGCTGAACTAAAGAGATGAGTTGTGTTACGTCTCTCCTCCTCTCTGTTTAGAACCGGGGGCAGGCTACATAAAACTCACATACTCTTCTATTACTATGTTTGACACAGCCTATTTAAAAAGGTGCTAAACTCCAAATTCAGAGCATATCTATGATTGATGGATTGCCTCAACAGTGCTCTCAACATGTCCCATCATTATTGAACCTGAAACAGGAAGTACACAGTGGCGTTATGCTTCATCAGCCAATGGAATAGGTCAGATTTCTTTCTTCGAGCAATCATACCTGATGCCGTTGGTGCAGTCCCAATGGGCCTGGAACCTGAGCAGAGGTTGCAGTAGCTCCTCGTTACCATCAGGAGGCGCTGTCTGGGTGTCCCATACCGACACCACTCTCTCTGTGTCGCCACTGAGCAGGTACCTGCCCGACCTTTAAACAACAACAACAACAACAACAAAAGCATTTGTACACAATGAACATAAAGGACCAGATTTCTCAGCCATGTGAAAGTTTGTGCAGGAAAACTAGATGAATGACAGGATGCTCATATTAATACGTTATGTGGTCTTGAGCGCAGCATCGCTCACGAACATGTCACTGATTAGAGTTCTAGTTAGTGAAGTAAACTTACTGGTCCAGATCAAAGTAGATGCGTTGGTTGGTGGCCACGTTTCTCTTGAGTGAAAACACGACCTTGCCCGGCTCTCTTAGGTCCCAGCACAGGATCTCTGGATCCTACACACACACATACGCGCACGCACACGCACACGCAGACACTTATTCCAGGGCTTCCAGGAGATATCACAGATAATATTTTTGATTAAAAAAATTCAAACAAAAAGCCTGTGCTCCTGACCGCATTGCTTAACTGTAGATGAATTACCTGGCAGAGGGACTTGCAAGCGACATAATAACTTTGTAGACTGGAATGCTTAACTAGTGCACATTCAATCTGAACAGGGTGACATACGGGAACAGGAGTGAATGGAAGGCACTGACTCACACAGAGGTTGATAGCTATGGAGTCTCCACATTGCCAGTTGTCAATAAATCATTCAGGACAATTTGTGCAACGTCATACCTGGAGAAGCCTCCAGACGGTGTCAACAGAGCAGAGTCGGGCACTGTTACTCTCAGGTCTCTAGTCTGCATGCTGCTGTATGCCAAGTGCGCGCGTGTGCTTGTGCTCACCTTGCGCCCGCCGGTGTACAGGTAGTTGCCATCGGGGGAGAAGAGCAGATGGGTGAGGCCTCCGTGGTGGCGGGTCGGCAGCAGAGCCAGCAGGGAGCCGTCTTGGCAGGAGTAGAGGCCGGCACAGCGGGAGTAAGAGCCACAGGCGTAAACAGACTGGCAGGGGCTGAAGCCAAAGCAGGAGATGATGCCATTTTGGCCCTGCTTCTTCACTGCAGTGTGAGGGCAACAGAGGGACATTTGGCAGGTCAGCGCTTTTAAAAAGGTTCACAAGAAGACACAGCTCCCAATCGCTTACACTCAAAGTTGACTCTTTAAAAATGGCTTTTAGTTTTTCTGCACAAAGTGGTCCAGTCCTCACGTGTCCCACAGAAAGACAACATAGACGGCAATAATCTAGCAGAGCAAGATGGTGAGCTGGCAGCAAAGTTTAGAGTGAGCTTTGCTCATTACATAAAAAAACCTGATTCCAGGCATTTTGCATTTGTTATCAGGTTTGTTTGTTCCCATCTGAAAATAAACTTTATGCAATCAATTATAAAAATAAATCGTGAAGGACATGAAGACTCAAACTTTTGAGTTGAAAATTAAAAGCTATTTGTTGACATTTTCAAGGATCATTTTGGTGGTTTACAAGACTTCAGCCCGTTAACTACAAGGCAGACACCGGCTCAGTTCACTTCAGCGCGTTACAGAAGACTGCCAGCGAGCTGACGCTTGTTTGAAGTGTGTGACAGAGATTAGGAAGTCCTCACAGTAAACATTTAGTTCTCTTTATTTCTAGTCAGAGGTGCATAATAACAACTGTCCTTGTTGATTTGTTCAAGGAGACTCGAGCCCGTTAGATGTGACAGCCAGCTGTCAAACAAGAACTTTTTCAATACAAGAAAACAACTGACATCACATCTTATTTTTCGCATCCACCCTGCTTACTCATTGTTTGTCTTGTGGGTTTGATTTTCGGAGATCTTAGCTGGCGAATGCAAATCTTTTGATTTGATTTATTCTTCACTCTCAAAGTAAGCGCCCTTGAACAACAGCGAGAGTTTTCAAAACAGTCCCTGCCTTTAAATCAATACATAATGTGAGAGCCCACAATACATCAAACCGGTTTAAATGGCTGTTAACGTTTGATGGAAAGCAACCACAATTAACAAATCAGTAAGATTTAACGCTGTACTGGGAAGTCGACATGTGATTTGTGGTTAGTAGCTAAATCGTTTGATAACCGACCTACGGTGGGCCGCTCCTCGCAGTCTCTTCCAGGGCGGTCGGTGTAGAAGACCCTGACCATTTTGTCAAAGCCGCAGTAGAGCTGCGTGCCATCGGGCGAGAAGCAGAGGGAGTGGGCTGCCGTCAGCTCGTCCAGGTGATTGTAGGGTCGGAAACTGGCTCGCACCTCCCCGTAGAACGCGTCCCACACGTGGACTGGGTTGTCTCGGCTACTGCTGGCGAGACTGCGGAAGAGGAGCGAGCGAGAGTGAGTTATTGAGACGTGTTGGAAAAGGACTCAAAGACAAGGCAGGGAATAGAGAGTGATTGATGCAAGAAGATATTTTATGAGCAGTGAAAGAACACGGGGACACATCAGTATTTGACTGTAACAGTAACTCGTGGTATCAAATAGAGTTTTACAATCATCTCACAGGATACAAACCAGATTCAAATGAAACAAGCTGCTGAGATTCTTTTGAAACATACATTATTTATGACCACAAAACATCTTGTTTGACTCATTTTCTAACCTCTACTGCACCGCCTCCACCTGAATGTATCAATGCATCAAAACAGATACACAGCATTGCGCTATGCCTCATTATGGAGACAAGACCACAGCCCATTGTTATCGATTCAAATCGGGGCCAAAGAGTGAGCCGTGCCTTTTTAACTCTAATTACTGGGCGCTGAACAAATGCCGAGGCATCGCTGCGGCTCAATTAGACAAAGGAAATTAGCCCCTACCACTGCTGCCGAGTTCCGTTATGGCCCCTCTGTGCTGCAGCTTTATTCCAGAGCAGGGAAATGCCCAATTATAATGCTAGACTGCTGCTAGCTTGGAGCAATGCCTAGAACTCAGTGCAACTTAACCGAGCCATAACAGGGGCCCTTATTCCCTCTCTACAGGAGGGGCATCAACAACACACGGCTTTTGGCAGACAGAAGTTCAAGAGCACAGGGGGAGAAACAAAATGGGAGATGTGAAAAGAGGGTGAGGGGGGGGGGGGGGGGACAGACAGAAAAGGCCCTCGAAAAAAAAACAGGTTTGCTTTAAATCTTCCAATAATCACAACCACAACCTTTGATCTGCTTTGCCCTTAACAATCCACTCGGAGCTTGTCCGACCACCTAGCCGTGCCCTGCAGGAGCTCCCCTGTGATAAGTGACAGTGATCTGAAGAAGATGAAGAATAACGTCTGTCAGCTCCAGCTGGCAATCCTCAGCCTTGTGACAGGCAGGCCTTTGGCAGATATACACACAGGCCTCTCAAGCGGTTCATTGTCCACATGAGTCGTTTGTAGATGATTTTGCTGTTTACATAACTCATCTTTGGACATACAGCTCCTGACCCCCCCCCCCCCTCCTATTACACAGTGAAGGCTGTCTGGTGTAGGGGTAGCGCGGTGCCAAAGCTGGACCTTGATCAGGGGGATCTTTCGGAGGGTGGAGGCACTAACTGGAGGACGGTGGGGGCGGAGGGGTATACACAGTAAAAACCGTTAGCAACTTGACCTCAGCTTGTTAGCACTGCCCTACATCTCTCAACATGGACGGCATGTCCGTGTTGAGAGATGGCAGGGCGTTACTGGTGTTTGCTGTGTTCAACAGTGCACGCAGACACGCCGTGATGTCACAATTACCACTTTTCAAAACGCGCGCACACACACACACACACACACACACACACACACACACACACACACAC